AACCCAATTTACTATATATGTATATTGTGGATGATTTTTAATAAAATTATTCAGGCTGATTTTAATAAAATCTCATATTATTATTCTTCAAAATTTAAGAATTAAAGTATTTTTAACCTGGCAAAACTCAATTGTTATTATTTACTAGCTCAAAGTGAACCGAATCGTACATATAAAAACAAATAAATCTTTCGCAATCATGACTTCTAAAAACAATTGAAAAATAACGATAGTTTTAAATAGGTGGCATAAAATGGATATAATTGAAAAAATTAATTCTTGCTGTGTTATTTATAATTTTACAATTATCTATTTCAGCACCCCGTCCTCATCAAATCAACGCAAATGATAATGACATTATTGATTGGACAGTTACCACGCATTATAGAAATGTTGACGGATGCAGAGGACGAGAAGTCTTAGTTGTTTGCCCTACCTACGATGAAAATGGTAAAAAACTTAAGCCTGAAGATGCAACATTCCCTGCACCAACCTTTATATTGAACAAAGGCAACGTGTTCGAGTTTTAATAAGGAATGAACTTCAAGGCGCGACCACAGTCCATTGGCATGGACTTTATATGAAAGACACCCCTTATATGGATGGAGTCCCGACCATAACTCAATGTTTACTTCAACAAAATCAAACTTTTCTATACGATTTTTATGCTAATGACGTACAGTACCTGGTACTCATTGGTAGTAAGTATACTATCAAATAAATTTTAATGGCTAAATTGATCATAATAATAAAATCTTAATATAAATCCAGCCATTCTCATTTTCGACCTCAACGTGTTGACGGATTTTATGGCTACATAATTATTAAGTACGACGGTAAACAGAATAAATGTCCGTATTGTGTATTCATATCGGACTGGTTTCATCGTTGGGCAGAAGACTTAGTGGACCGATATCGCTACTGTAATGTTACAACTAAATTAACACCTGAGGTAATACTGTTATTCACTTTAGAAAACCAATCTATGAAATTAACCTTTTTTTTTTTTTTAATAGCCGGTTCCCCATTCCGTACTCATCAATGGAAAAGGTGGAGGAAATTGGTATAGGACACCTATGTATAGTAGTATTGAAACTAATATTATATATCATTTTGAAAGGGATGAAAAAAATATATACTTCGCATACTAAATGCAGGGTAATAATAAAAATGCTTCTCATATTAAATGTGGATAATAATCAAATTAATTCATCATATTTTTCATTGCTACATTCAGAGTGTTAGTGCTATACTATTTCTCAATTGACCATCATACGTTAGAAGTTATCGAAGTTGAAGGAATTCACGTTAATTCAACTGAAAAAGTCAAACTTTTACCTTGACAAAGATATTCTTTGATAGCCACAACCAATAATACAATTTTTGGATGCGTTTACAAACTAGCACAGACTGTCTTCGACCTGACATACCTCAAATTCAGAAGAAGATGCCAATCAAAGAGGTTAATTATAATGAATCTGATATAAAAAGATCTAATACTACTCCATGGGGTGGAAATCTACCTTGTAATGATCTTAATTATACATTGTTGTTCCAAGCAAATGATTCATTAAAAGTACCAGAACCAAGACTAGATCCAAAAACAAACAAATCAAATTACCAAAATTTCTCTTTTAAAATTTATATGACCACAGTTAATTCTACAAAGAATTTAAACGATAATTATGAGACATACGGCTCAGTATCTCTAATATCAGGTCTTCCGGATCAATATGTAAAAAATAACGATTCAATCTTCAGTTATCTTGAAAATATACTTCATTATACAATGATAAATCTAAAACGGATTGAAAAATACGGTTCTGAAATTTATGATCCTGTACTGAACGCCATAATTTTAGATAAAGAATCGCAAATTATTGACGCTACATTGTTCAGCTAGTATTTTAGAGCAAAATTATAATATAATTTAATTGTTTTAATGGTTTAGCCGATTTTATTTATTTATTTATTTATTTAATTTTAAAAACTTTTAGGGCCTTTTTTGTCAGCTTCTTTTTAAAGTTAGATTAGGGTTAGGGTTAGTTTTATTAATAAAAGAGTATAAATGAATTTTAGTAGATATGAGTGCTGCACAGGGAAAACCTGTAAGTAAAATTAATTCGTTAAAATATTATACAAATTTGACCAATCAAATTTCAAGATCAGGCTGATCTTGAAATTTTATTGGTCAAATTCGTATAATATTTTAACGAATTAAATTTTACTTACAGGTTTTCCCTGTGCAGCACTCATATTATAGATTTAAATAGAGACCACCAATCTCAGCTTCAGCCGCCACACTTCTTTATTTATTTATTTATTATTTATTTATTTTATTTTATTTTTATTTTATTCTTATTTTTTTTTCAGATTTAGACGATGTCGTTCACCCTTTCTATTTGGTAACAATTCTTAGAGCTAGCGATTGTCATAGTTTATATATTTTATTCACCTTTTTAATATATATTTAGCATGGACATTCCTTTTGGGTTATGGAATATCGGTATGGTCACTTTGCAGAAGTTGTAAAATTTGACCACCCGGTTAAACGTGACATTATGACCATTCCTTCTCATAGGTAAGTCATTTGGAGTTTACGGAAAGGTTAACTTTTACAGATCTTTATTTATTTAATATCTAAACTAAAAGTCAAGTGAAATTTCGTTTTCAAGTGGGTAATACTGGAGTTTGGGCTTTCCATTGTCATGTTGAGGCAAAAATTGATAATGATTACAATATGTATATGTTGAATGATATACTATAATAACTTTTTTTTTTAAAAAAAAAAATGGCATATTGAAGTTGGAATATTAGCTCAATTTGTTGAACTTCCACATAAGCTTCTCGAATTGTCACCACCACCAAATGATACTACATTTAGAGACAAGGCAGGCAATAATGTAATTCTAAGAATGTGGGAAGGATTGTGTGAAGTACCACTCATAATAGAAAAAGAAAGCCGTGGGAAGAATGGAGCAAAACACTGTGCAGTTGATAATCTATTATTACTATTCTTTAGCATTCTTATAAAAATATCTTTATTCCGGTGCGTATTTATAGAGTATCTTTAGCATTCTTATAAAAATATCTTTATTCAATGCATATTTATAAGTATCTTTAGCATTCTTATAAAGTATCTTCAGCATTCTTATAAAAATATCTTTATTCAATGTATATTTATAGAGTGCTAGGCATAACCCGTCGCTTCGCTGACGGCCAAAATTTACAGTAAATCTCAACATTTATAAACTTAAATATCTGAGTTCTCATTTTCTCTTGGTTGAAATAAACATACGCCGTTTTTAATACTCCAAAGAATCTTGAGGAGATTTATTTTAAACGCTACCACGTGAACTTGACAACTTTAATGTAGGAGATGATGAAATTTTGGAGATAGGTTAGGTTATTGGCGCCATAAAAATTCGACAGTCACGTGATCACATTATAGCATAACAGAAAATTATTGAGATTAATTACCTTTATAAAAAAAACTACTAAACATATTAAAAAAACTAGTAAGCTATATATTATATTATTTTTTGCAAATGAATATACAGTATATTAATGAATAAATTTAGAAATAAAGACAAACATTCTAATTAAATTTCTGTTACCAAAATCTAAAAACTATATTGTAATTGCAAGTAAATAAATCTTTTAAGATTAAAGAACAAGAAATGCTTTTATGGATTGAGCATAAAAAAAGCTTGTAAGTTAAAAGGATAAAATAATGAGCTAAAAAAAAAGAAAGTATGTTGTAAGAGAAACTTTAAAAACTTTTATATAATTGAGCTTTTAAATAATATATATTTTAGGGTTTGGGCTCTGTAGCTTATTGGTTAAGCTCCCAAACCCCACAGACAAGGTCAATAGTTTGAGTTGGGCTAGTAGCAAATTGTAAAATTTGTTGCTATAACCTTATAGAGCTATAATCGGATGTGAAACCTTGTGAAAAACCTAAGTACAAGTATGGTTTTAGAATAAGAATTCTCAGAAGAAGCCCTGATCATAGAATATAGGCACCATATATGATAGCAGTGTTATAGAAGGTTTAGGTTGTAAAAGATTGTGCAAGTAAGTCTTTGATTGGGTGACTCAAAGGCAATACCAATATCCTATCACCTTTATATCTGGCAATACCAATATTTCTGCATCTAACTTGTGAGGTACTTGCTTAGAAGGATGATCAACAGATTGTGTGTATAAGTTCTAATATGGAATAGTATTGGGTACTTGCTTGAAAAGGTGATACAATACTACCAAAACTGAAATATTAAGAGAAGTGGTAAACATGTGAAAGAGCTGTAGTAAAGAATTGGCCTTATCTAAATTAGAAGCACCTCTGGCACTATGGAATAGCTAACTAAAAAAAATAATTTCATAGAGGCAAGCTAGCTAACCTAGTATGTCTAAAGGTACTAAGTCAGAGCTCTGGTCACTTTTATATAGAAGTTTATGATGAAAGAAGCCAGAATACATCAACAATAATGCAATACCAACCAATAGATATAAGTTCAAGTTAGAAGTCAAAGTGAATTGGGGTATGCCTTCTAGTAATATGATACAAGATCTATAGTTAGAAATAAAGCTGCTTATCACTTAAAAAATTTCGTGATGTTAGGCTAGTCTTTAACAAGATAAGTCATTAAAGCAGCATTACAAAATATAGTTCTAGTAATACACTATATGAGAAAGTACAATGGGTTAGTTGATATTACTATATCAGAAAAAGAATATTAAGTCCTGAGGTAGCAAACTAGCAACAGCAGCAGAAACTTGGCTTAAGATACAGGTTAGTAGTATCTGGGCTAATAAGTGAGAGAGTTGGGCTAAGTCCTAATTTGTTAATAGAATACCAACTTGGTTATGTGACAAATCTAACTAGGTAGCAAGTTTCTAACTTGAGATATGGGCTATAGAAAGGCTACCTGCACCAATTACAGTTGTACTAATAGGATCTGTAAAAAGATTTACAGTAAATCGTATTTGCAAATATACCAAAATAGGAGCTCATTAGAAGCAAACACCTGATATTACCAAATTGGTAGTTATAACTAGTGTTGTGAGATATGAGAAAAATATGTAGTTACTAAAAATAGTTAGTTAGAAAGTCTAAAGCTAGGTGAGATATATGTAGGATATGAAATACTCTAGTAGATTTAGATCATAGATAAATTAGTTTAAATCTCAGTAGTTTTGTATTAGTGTATATATAAAAAACTTGTCATAATAAGTATATGTTAATAAAAACTAAAGGCGTGACCTTACTTTAATATTAAAAAAATAATAATAATATGTATTTTGCAAATAGTTATATTGATATATTATAATCTAATGTTATTGTTTTTAATTAATATTTCAAATTTGAATATAAGAAGTGTATAAATTAATTACACCTTTAAAGTAAATCTTTTTTTATTAATTTATTGTTATATTGTATTTATCTATACAATAAATTATTTAAAATACATATCTTGAATATGCACTAGATTTGTAGTGCAGATATACTAAGCTATAAATAAGATATCAAAATCAAGTACAATATAACATGTTCAAAACAAACATCTGTTTTATCAAAAACTACTTATTTTTCAAAATTCTATATAAAAACCACTTTTGATACTTTAATAAAAAGTTTTTATTCAGCAATTTTACTATAAAATTATCATATCTAAGCTATAACTCTAACTCTAACTTTAATATAAATAACTATTAAAGAATTTTTGATATGCTACAAATCTAGTACATATTCAAGTAATATATTTAAAATTATATAATTTACTAATTACAATTCTAACAAATTAGTAAGTCTGGTAAACAATAATTGTGAATTTTTGATAACAAGATTTCTTTAACTCACCAATACTTACTTTGACAACACCATATTTTACTAAACCAATTTTACTGACAAGCTTTTTTTACAAACAATTATAGCTGTTCTCATAAATTTTAAAAAATCTGTCAAAAATTGATTGACCAAATATTTGTTAATTTGATAAGTTTGTGAATTCAGTAATAATTAATATATATAATAATTATCTATATATACTTTTTTTTTTTTTTTGGTTTTAAGGTGACCTCTTGGTCGATTCTCTTTATTCAGTTATTAGTCAAGTTTTACCATAC